TTTTAAAATGAGCCTTAATTGTAAGTATGTGACAAAGTTCTTTTAAAACTGCTTGAATAATAGAAAAAACATGACATGCCTCTTGGAGAGCACAATGGGCCATAATAATGTGAGGGAGAACAGATAAGAATGGATGTAATGGTTAGAATTAAATGACGTCTGACAATTACTTTCAATTTGAACTGAGGTGAAGAAAATCAGAATTACAATACTCTTGTGATTAAACTTTGATGAGATGAAAATGTCATTGTTTGATGAGAATTTTTTATTAGAGTTCAAAGAATATGAATGATTTAACCACAACGTACTAACACCACAGGGCTGAATAATCTATATCTGAATTTCTCAAGTCTTCCTTACTTCAGGTCACTGGAGAAATCTCAGCTGCTCTCATTCCTCAGTTCTGTGACTGTTTCCATAATATCGGCTTTTGGAACAACAAGATAAAACTCAAGTCCTTTGTGATAAGTTTTGACATTGAAATCTTGGAGTAGCTTAATATGGTGAAACTTTTCCAGGAGCCAAGTACTAAAATTTAGACTCTTCTTTTTTTTTTTAAAGAAATAAATTTTAGAGACTAGATTTCTTGAGAGAAATGGAGAAATCCTGCTTGTATTCTGCATTCATTGATGAAATCGAGATTCTGCATTCACTGATGAAATCAAGTGAGTCTTTTCATTTCATAAGAAGAATCTGTTTCCCTTTAAATTGACATTTTGGCAATTAAAATTGAGATACGGGCTTGAGTTTGTTAAAGACAATGCATAGCCCAGTTCTCTTTGGGGCACTAATTACAATATAGGATGACAGGTTCATGCTGACTTAGCACAGGGACTTCTCTCCGTACAGGGGCAACTGCCATCTTAGTGATTCCTGCATTCAGTCAAGGGCAGAAGAGCTGGGCGCCCCTTTCCATCTACTTTGCTGCTACTGTGGGATGAGTGCTGTCCTTCCCTCCCTCTTCTCTTTTCCTCTCTTTCCTTTCTGAGGGCCCCAAATTTAAAAAATAGTCATTGGTAGTACATTTTTTCCACATTTTTAAAGATTTTTTTTTTTCTTCCAAGAGTGTGAAGTCAAAATGTCTGGGGACTTAGGCTATAATCCAGTAGTTTGGAAACAGGATGGTGATAGGTATGTTCAGTCCTATTTTTATAAATGCAAATGTTGGTCTTTTTATTGAAAGAAAGAGAAAATACTGGCAATAGTCATTCTATCCAATCATTTCCCAAAGCTGTTGGCAGTGTAACAATGTTACAATTTGGCCCATTCAAGCGCGCGCGCGCACACACACACACACACACACACACACACACACACACCACTTTTATTTTGTTTTATTTTTTAAAAAGCCAATCTTTCAACTCTATAGGCTGATCTAGGGTAAGTGATCAAACGCTAGCTCAGATGATTGCTGGACACCATCTTGCTGATTTTCTTATTTAAATTTTATAAAATAAAATTGATAAATATTTAATAAATAAATTTAACTTATTAAAATTTGTGATAGATCTTTGAACAAAATAGGGACTCAAGCATATATAAATCGGGTGATTAATATGTAAAGAAGGAGTAAAATACATATTGACAATTGAAATTGAAATGAGAGCTTAAGTCTCAATGAAAGGCAGAGAGAAATGACCACATTTGGTAAATTAAAGGCTAACAAGGAAATTTGAGCTGAAAAATGGAAGGTATATTGTATAAGAGGTTTCTGTCACTGCCCCGCTCACTAAATAAAGAATTTAATTGGCCATTCAAAGTCCCTTTCAAAAATATGTTGTAAATTTAGCTGATTTATCTTCATGGCATTTGCACTTGAGTGTTTAAATCTTCCTTCAGAGGTGGTCAAAATGATTATTATAGATTAAGTCGGGAACTACTGAAGAGTTCCAATGCACTGCAATCTCTGTTGGATATGAAAAAGTCAAAGGCTTGGAAAAAGCAGATAACGAAAGCTGAAACTAGTGGAACCCTAAAGCGCCACAGGTAAGAGGCAACACAGGCAGTGACTAAGAGTAGAGAGCTACAGAAAGACTGCCTGGGTTCGAATCCTACTTCTATGGCTTAGTAGCTGTGTGTCTTTGAACAAGTTATTTACTATCCTTAGAGTGCAGTCATTCTTTCTCCCTTTCTTTCTCTTTCTTTCTTTCTCTCTCTCTTTTCTTTTCTCTTTTCTTTTCTTTTCTTTTCTTTCTTTCTTTCTTTCTTTCTTTCTTTCTTTCTTTCTTTCTTTTCTTTCTTTTCTTTCTTTCTTTCTCTCTCTTTCTCTTTCTCTCTTTTTCCCTCCCTCCCTCCCTCCCTTCTTCCCTCCCTTCTTCCCTCCCTTCTTTCCTTCCTTCCTTCCTTCCTTCCTTCCTTCCTTCCTTCCTTCCTTCCTTCCTTCCTTCCTTTTCATTCCCCCCTCTCTCTCTCTCTCCCTTTCTGGTTATTTATTTTTATTTTTTTCTCACTCTGTCACCCAGGCTGGAGTGCACTGGCGCAATCTCTGCTCACTGCAGCCTCTGCCACTCGGGTTCGAGTGATTCTCTCCTCTCAGCCTCCCTAGTAGCTGGGATTACAAGCGTGTGCCACTACGCCCAGCTAATTTTTGTATTTTTTGTAGAGATAGGGTTTTACCATGTTGGTCAGGCTGATCTTGGACTCCTGACCTCAGGTAATCCGCCTGCCTCGGCCTCCCAAAGTGCTGGAATTACAGGCGTGAGCCACCGCGCCTGGCCCAGCTCCAGTTTCTTTACCTGAAAAATAGGAATAGTAGCAAGACCTACCTTATAAGGCTTCTATGAGGAATAAGTAAACTTATGTAAAACTTGAGTAAGCGCACAAAAATACAAAGCTAATGTTATTATTTTTCATATTGAAATGTGGAAGATCTTCTCACTAACTTTGCAGTTATCCTCAACTCTGTTTTCTAGACTAAATGAAAAATGTTTCAAATAGTGGGATTTGTAATATTTTCCTAAGGATAAAACAACCAAAAATTTCTTAAATTATCCAGGGTATCCTAAATTAAACCCATTGTAGCAGTCAGCGCTATTCTCTTATTTGAGACGTTTTGTAAGGTCTACAGTACTTAGTCTGGTCCTGTAGTACTTACTTTATTGCCCTTTGGTGGTGTTGACATGGGGTGTTCCCATGGTATAGATAGAATACGTTTTTATTTTTTGCCACTTAAAGGAAACATAGTTGGTGGGAAATGAAGCTGATAGACAAATGGGAAAACTTTGTGTGATTTAGGGGAACTATGTGGGGATTGGGATCAATTGGGATCTGTATTCCAGTTTTTGCTTTACCTTTAAATGTAATTTTGGGTAATTTACTTAATTTCCTTGACACTTGGTTACCTCATCTTTGGAAGTGGGAATGATAATAATGCTTGGCCCACAATGAGCTTCGAATATTAAGTACTTGAGAATAATATTTATACATTCAAAATTCCCATATATGTGCTCACAATTGATAATTATTCTAATGCATTCATTTCTCCTCTTCCCTTGAAACCCTTGGCTGATGCTTTCATAATTCTATAACTCTTCTATGAAAAGCAATCCTTGAAAGGATAGAAGGAATACAGGCTATGATTTTCATTTACTCCCAGATTAGAGTGTTTCTGTCATCCACCCATCCATCCATCATTTATCATCCATCTATCCACCTATCCATCATCCATCCATCATCCATCCATCCATCCATCCATCCATCTTGCATATATTGAGCATCAGCCATGTGGTATGCAAAAAGATTACAAACATCATCATCATTTCCCAGAGATTTCTGAACATGTGGAAATTGAAGAACTGAACTCAGCTTTTTAGAGTTCTTAATTTGCCTTAAACCAAAGATTGAAGAAGTGGAAAAACAGAAAAATAGTAAGAATTAATTCAGGTGACATTGTTTTGGACATTTTCCAAACGGACTAATTATCCAAAAGCAAGCTGACATTTATATCTGTGGGTTTCTATGCTTGTTAAAAAACTTTTTTTTTCTTTTTTTTTTTGCTGAAGTACTCATTGAGCTAAATTTCATCTAACATCTGGCCATTGTATAAATATAGCAATGAAAACATGTCTAGTTGCCTACACATTAGGTATAAATTTTAGAAATCCAATTAGTGTTTTATTCTTTGTGTGCATTTCCCTTTTTCTTTAGTGTTTGAGCTAATTTTGGGCTTCTACCTGAAACTATAAGAATTCAAATATTTAGCACACATCTATGCAGCAAAATCCAACTAGATTGAACATTTCCTAATGATTGTAAGATATTAATTCTTTCTTTATCCGTGCAACAAGCACTTATTGAGTGAAAGGCACTTATTGAGTGAAAAGTCAAGCCTCGTCTCAGTGCCAACGGGTAGAGGTGGGAGTGGGAAGATACAGAAGAAATAAGACACAGTAAGGAGTTTAGAATCTAGTGGAGGAGATAGACACCTACACCAATGATTTCACTACAGTGTGACCAATGCTATAAGTGAGGTACTTATCCACCTGGCTCCTAAGGCATCACTCACCACTCATCTGATGGGTTGCACACTACATACATGATTGTCCTTAGTCTTCCACTGAGAGTGTATAACCTCTCAAAATTGAAAAGCCCCTGAAACCAAGAACCCAGCGGGTTAAACCAGTACTCATTGAGCCTACATTATCCATCTGGGTAGGCAGAATCTGCCAAATGGCCTGCGGACGGATCATTTATTTAGCAATACTAGTGGCAGTTGTTTGTGTCTTCACTTTTAGATTCACCGTAATGATAGCTGATAACCAATGGTTTATTTTGCATAGATGTGGACATTCAGAATTAAGCCTGTACAAACACAATTTTCACTATCTGTATCAGGGCATCTCACAGTGTACACTCTGCAGGCTTTCAAAAAATACATTTGATTTCATGGGCCTACCACCATTTCCTTTGGTGTTGATTATACTTAAATATCAAAACCTCCTGATCATTCTAAAGGATCATCTTAAGATCTAACTACAAATGAATTTTTAACTTCATCAAACATGTTTACCTTTTAAAACATCCGAATGTTTATTTTCACGAGCTTAGTAGTACAAGATGCAACGTAATTTGTGAAAATCAACCACAATGCTAATACTTTAATATATTATTCCAAATATTAGACATTACAGTTTAAATCTTTTTAACATTAGCTCTAATGTTGGAATAACATTTAAGTTAATAAATAACTGTGAATATAACCATATGTTCAGTCTATTCTCCCCAGTTTATCCTAAATGACAATTTTATTGTGATTTGGGTCATAAAAGTGATAAATAATTGTTTATATGTTTTCATAAATTGCATGTTTATTTAATTAATCCTGAAGAAAACCTAGAAATACATTCCAATGGGTTACATAAATTAGATGTATTTTTTAGCTCTTTGATTTTTTTAACATGAGTGAGTCACACTGTAACTGCTCTTACATTTAGTGTTCATTGCACATAACATTTTTTGAAATGTATTTTCACAGGCTATAGGTAGTCATTTGCAAAAGTGACCACAATTTTTGATCCTCAAATTAAATGTCTTTCATTTATTTTGGAGAATTATGGGTTTCAAAAGCTACTGACCTTATGGGACAATCTGTAAAGTACTAAACTCACAAAATTTGTGGTAATGAAGGAGAGTTTTGTTACATTATGCTTTCCAAATAGTAACCATATCTTCCAATAATTTTCGTGTTATAAACACATTAGGAAAGACAGAATTACCTTTAGGTATAAAATGTTCTGAATTTGCATATTCCATAGTACTTACAATGAGAATTTATATTGGCTTTTACATTGTTTGATAAGATTGTCTGTGCCCCTCAGACACAGAAGATGTCTGTGCCATCTTCAGTTGTCACAAAGGCAATTTCTCTGTGAAATGTTCATAACATGTGAGGTTGGTGTCAACATGCTGCAATCGGAGGTTTTCCAGGATTCATCCTACCATTTGAATTTACTGCTCTATTTTGGGATTTTCCTGTTATTATCGAGTTTAAACCAATACACGTGTTGTCTGATTCCATGGTCTGAGAACAGTATTCTGTGCTCCTTGGAGTCAGATCTCTAATAAATCATATAGCTCAATTTCATCACAGATATTTTCCAAAGATTTCTAATCTTCTTGTAAAATCTTCAATACTGAGCAGCAGCTCTAGCTAGCACCTAGGAGCTGCATTAAGAAAAGGCTCAGATGATAGAAAGATAGTATAAGAGTTTAGGAAAAGCATCAATGGCAGAAATAACGTGTAGGAATCTTAAATTTAGGCAACTATTTAGGTCCAGAAAATATTTCCTTCCAGTATAAAAGGTTAAGGCTCTTTGAAGAAAATGTTATCTTCAACAATGGGAACATACATTCGAATTCTGGTCCCCTGAAAGCTTAAAATCGGACTCTTTCTCTTTTGTACACTTTTGACAAACTATGTGCGTTTTCAGTGTAGGGACCACCTTACAATTTTAGGGTAATTGTACTCCTTCTTAGGGAAGAGACAGTTGGCATTGTTTCATGGCTGAGTATAATTCATTTATGTCTTCCCAGTTTTTCCTCTCTGATCTCTTCTCTGTGTATCTGTCAGCAGTGGTCTCCTGGGAGCAGCACTATGCACTTCATTAATAAGAAGGGATTAAAGAAAAAAGCCCCAGTCTTCTAATACACTTGGATAATTTGGTGCCATCCACAAGGCGATAGACCCCTGCTGCATAGATGTCATTAGAAAGGTACAATTTCATTACTTTTTACTGGCAGAGCCTTGAGTGAAATAAAAAATATGTTGTCTCATATGTAGGGGGAAAAAAGTGCTAAAGCTTTCATTCATTTCATGCCCCTAAAAATAGTAGAATGCAAAAAATATATTTTATGGTTTTCACATTTATATTGCCTTCCTTTAGTAGTCCTTGAAATCATGCTTCCTATTAAATATTGAGCAAAATAAAGATTAAAAGAAAATTATTTATATTCTTAAATCTCAAATGAGATTTATATATTTTTATTAATTAACACACTTGTTTCAAATACCTACTATGTGCCAGGCTCTCTGCTAGCTACTAGAAACAAATTACAAAAACATCATTCACTTTTTTTAAACCCTAACTTATTGAATACTATAATTGGAAGTGAGTGTAAAAGTGAGTGTATATGAAATAAACCATATGGCAGAATAAAAATGATTATAAGCCAGTATATTGTAAGTGTATTCAAAAAATCTGTTTAACACTTCCTTGTTAACCGAACTTATTTTTAAATTGACATGTTTGCTGATGGTTGATATTACCTTTTGAACTGAACCATCCTGATTTTAAGCCTCTAAGTGGTATATTGTGCAAACATTTGAAATGACGGTGCAAACCATCTTTGGGAGATTTGCATCCTAGTTTCCATAGGTGCCATCTCTGCTAGGAAGTAACCGTATGTCACTGGCACAGTGTGTGGTGTGGCCACGCCCCCTGAGAAAGGGGACTGGGATTTAGGCACCTGCGGTATGCCAATGGCACTCCCAGGCATAACACTGGTGTGATGACTCTCTGGGAATCTCACACATCACTCTTTCCTAGCACCGAAGAGAATCAGGTTTAATAGTGGTCCATTATCTCACTGCCACAGACACACAACTGCCATTAATGCTAAAAAGTGACACACAGTTGGAACCATGCTTAAGAGAAGACAGTCCTTGATCATCAGTTATTCACAAGTCACTCCTTGCAGTGATAGGTTTCTGCTTTACTTCTAATAGCTTTTGTTCAGTGAAATTGACATTTGCAGTTCTTTGTCTAAGATAACAGCTAGACTAGACTAGTTAAGATGACAGAAACTGGGGTTTCTGGAGAACATTCTACTGACAAAAGGCAAAGCAGGACAAAAAGCCAAATTATTTTGACAAGTAAATGAGTCAGTAACAAAAATACTTTAAAAATGTGTTGGGTTATGTACAATATATCCAGAAATGAAAGATTGGTCTTCTGGTAAGCTTTGAATACAGAGTGATCTGATGTCCTTACCATTTTATTCTACAACCATGTTGTACCTTGTCTGTCATACATTTTAATTCACTCAAATATGATTACACATGCAGTAAAGATTATCAACAAATGTCATGAGAAGTGAGAGGGCAGAGATTGGGACAGGGCCTTTACACCTTCTAGAGTGAACACAGCTTAATAATCAACAAAAAGCCAGGACTCAACTAGCTAAGTTCTTGTTATCAAAAATATGTCTCAGCTAATGTTTAAATATAGATAACCAAAGTTACAAACAAAATCCCCAGTTTTGCCAATAAATTTTTAAAAAATAAGCAAAGTGGTAAAGGGGTTAAAAGCTTAGATCATTAAACTGGTGTGGTGCATTTGAGGGTGTGCACTGAAAACAGATCAACCATTTGATACCAGAGTACAGATTTCCTTTTTGTTTGTGATTTTCGTATGATGGTAACTTTTCCTCTGCCTCTACAAGATTTTATGAGTCTGCTTGTCTTGCATCTCAATAGGTGCTCTTATGATTTGGGAAGGGTTTCTGAATATTCTTTTCAAATTTCTGGGCTTTAGTCCCACATTACTTTAGGCAGTGAGGAGGAAGAAGAAATACTATGAATTGAAGTTAGAATTGAAACTTGGATATTTGTGATACAAATGGAAGGAAAGTAACTGATTAGCAGTGACACGGGCTAATACTCTTTTGCTGAGGTACTCTATAAATAAGGGATTGCTCATGAAAGAGCTTGTTATACTTTCTCTCTTTTATGTGCATGACTGTGACATACTGTATTTTGCCATTGTTAAACTTAGTTTAACAGAATAAATATTCAAATAAGAATTGACCATACCAATATCCCAGTAGAGAGGGAATAAGCTGATAGACGTGTCTTTGAGTTCTGTCAGGCAAGACTTAACCAAATCTTGACACACATTTAAAATTGGTTGTTAATGAAAGGTAACTAGATAAAATAGGTATATATTTGCTTAAGCATATTTTAAAAATATTTCTTTTTTTAGATTTGAAATTCACAGTAGGTTTCTTCCTTTCCTCCTTGCTAATTTATGAAATATTTATTGTTTAGACTGACTAATATGACATGAAACAACAAACCTGCACATGTCTAATTTATAATAAATCTGTTTCCTTAATGGGTGGAAGGAAATCTGAGGACAGTTCTAAGGAGTCTTGTCTGCTTTCAGTGCGATCTTCTAGTCATACTGAAGACAATACCTCTCCGGACTGGTCTTTTCCTTTCTTCTCCTCTCCCCGGTCAATGTCAATCACGTGCACCACTCCAGGTTTTAGAATCAGGTCATCTGTCTCTACCTGACTCCTGTTGTCCTCCACCTCCATGTAGCTTCCTTTTGTTTGCTGGGCAGCTTTGCTGAAGGCTTCTTTAAAACGACGTTTGAGTTCAACATCTGGACAGAAGACATACTCATAAAGGCCACCAGCGAGGACAGCTCCTATGATGGGCCCAACCCAATATATCTAAGGAAAAGATGGAAGAGGATAGAGTTATAAGTAGAGAGAAGCTATTCCATTGAGCAGCTCATGAATATATAATCTAGCTGGGTTAAATTAAGAGTGTATTTGTGTCATGCATCAAAAAGAGGGGAATTGGAGAGGAAATAAGAAAAAACACCAAATCCTCATCAGAGATCCATAAATCATTAAACAGCATTTGAACAGAAAACAAGAAGGAACTGTTTCATCTCCTATTCTCTTTTCATTAATTATGTTCTTTCCATCTTATAATAATCCTTAATGTAAAGATAGCTCCTCTTTGGTGGTATTACAAATTAAGTGCACTAAGAATTCTTTAATATAGAAAAAAAATTTCTAGAGAGTCCTTCTCTTATTTTCTCAATATTGCCATCTTTCACCGGTTTCCTGCGTAATCATGATCATCACACAGATTTTATCTTTTGGGGATTCCATTATTCAGGTCAGCATGATCAAAACCAACCCAGCTCTACCACTTAGCAGAGCCGTGAGTGCTTGTATCAGTTACTTAACTTTCAAAGCCTTACTTTCCCCATCTGTAAAGTGGGGATTATAATAATACAAACCTCATGGGGTAAAAGGATTAAGTGCAATAATACTTGTAAAGTACTTAATAGTTTTTAGTTCTTAGTACTATCTGCGTCATTCCAGGCTTCCAAAATTTGGTGATTTGATTTAAATGAAAACCTCATGTGTTCATTACTGTGCAGATAGCTTTTATCTATGTGGTTCTTACGGTGGTGGCTTGGTGAAAAAACATGAGTTTATGGCTAGTTGAGAAGTAGCAATTCCATAGGATTTCAATAAATGGAGATGATGATGATGATGATGATGATTATTATTATTATTTTGAGATGGAGTCTCCCTCTGTTGCCCAGGCTGGAGTGCAGTGGCACGATCTCGGCTCACTGCAAGCTCCGCCTCCCAGGTTGACGCCATTCTCCTGCCTCAGCCTCCCGAGTAGCTGGGACTACCGGCGTCCGCCACCACGCCCGGCTAAATTTTTGTATTTTTAGTAGAGACAGGGTTTCATCGTGTTACCCAGGATGGTCTCAATCTCCTAACCTTGTGTTCCGCCCACCTCGGCCTCCCAAAGTGCTGGGATTACAGGTGTGAGCCACCGTGCCCGGCCGGAAATTATTATTACGTATTAGCTATGCACCTAGAATAAAGTTTTGAGTTTGAATGAAGTGCAGACATTTGCTTTAGAACACATGTGTGCTGTAGGATATTAGACATTTATTCAGCAGACGCACTTGGTCAACAGAAACCCTGCTTGTTGAGCACTGTCCCTGAGCCAGCCGTACTTGGCACTTTTCTTGTATAATCTCATTTAATTCTAACAATAATCTATGAGATAAATATTATTATTCTTCCCATTTTATGAAAAGAAGAGTGACACTCTGAGAGGGTAAGAGGCTTGCTTAAGATTTTGTGCTTAGCAAATGGTTGAGCTGAGATTTCTGACCTGTCTGACTTCAAACCTCTCATTTGAGGCTGGGCACAGTGGCTCACCCCTGTAATCTCAGCAGTTTGGGAGGCCAAGGTGGGTGGATCGCTTGAGCCCAGGAGTTCGATTCAGCCTGAGCAACATGGTGAAACCCTGTCTCTACAAAATACAAAAAAAATTAGCTGGGCTTGGTGGTGTGCACCTGTAGTCCCAGCTACTTGGGAGGCTGAGATAGGAGGATCACTTGAGCCTAGGGAGGTTGAGGCTGCAGTGAGCCATGATCATGTCACTGTACTCCAGCCTGGGCAGCAGTGTAAGACCCTGTCTCAGACAAACAAACAAACAAAAAACGAAATGAAAACCTCTCTTTTGAAACACTGTTCCAAACACTGTAGTATACTGTTTACCACTGTATTACTCATTTGAAAAAAAACATGATGGATGCTTTTTGTTTAAAACACCCTCTGCAGATTAATCTCAGTTTGCATCCTCATTGTAAGATTTAAATAAAGTTCAAAATTTAAGCTGAGGCTGAAGACATAACATTCACGGGTAAACTGTTGTTAGAGTGGCTGGAAGAATCAAGTTCCTCTCTTGAACATGAAAAAACCCATATGAGCCTTTATCTTCTCTATGCTCTTTTAAAGGAGAAATGGGAGCCCTCCTCTAAATGTCTTTGCTTTTTGTTCCTTTAGTAAGGTCTCATTAGACATATACTATTCCACAGGCTACAAATCCCACGAGGGAGACCAGAACAGCAAAATAATTACTACCCTTTCCAAAACATCTATGAGTGAGATACCTAGATGCATGTTTTCAAAAATAAACAAATCTCAGTGTCAGGTTGCTATTTCAAAATGAAGTCATGTGTACTTTAAAGACTCTTTATTGCTAAAAATCTAGAAAATGTGTAAAAGTGTAAAGAAAATAAAATAATGTCATTATACTATACAAAAAACCCAATTAATATTTTAATGTTATTCCTAATCTCTCTACCTACAAATATACTTTAAATTAGTTCTAAATTTCATATAACCATTGCTATTTTTAGTAGAATTAAGTTTGGTATAATATAACATGGGAAACTTTTGGTTTAATCAACAAGCTAAGAATTTTCCTACTATTTAAATTTTAACTAGCTTACTACAACTGACAAGTAATTAATAAAATATATATTTTCATCTACATTTTCAAGTGCTTATAAATTTAACTATAAGTTTTTAATGACAAAATCGTTTCAATTTAATTTGTTGAACTGAAAGTTATATTTTCATTATAAGATCAGGACTGGGTACTGTGGCTCACGCCTGTAATCCCAGCACTTTGGGAGGCTGAGGCGGGTGGATCACCTAAGGTCAGGAGTTCGAGACCAGCCTGGCCAACATGGTGAAACCCTGTCTCTATGAAAAAATACAAAAATTAGCTGGGCATGGTGGCGTGCACCTGTAATCCCAGCTACTCGGGAGGCTGAGGTAGGAGAATCTCTTGAACCCAGGAAGAGGAGGTTGCAGCAAGCCAAAATCGTGCCACTGCACTCCAGCCTGGGCAACGGAGCAAGACTCCATCTCAAAAAGAAGAAGAAAAAAAAGATCATATACTACTCACTAGAAATTTCCGTTTCTGTTAATATAGTAACGTTTTTTGACACAAAAATGGAGGTATCAGTGGCAAAATGACTAATCTCATGGGTGGCATTGTTGGCCAAGTCTTGATTTGAACACTGACTCTCATTCTGTTATTTAATGCTGTAGATTACTTTTAAAGATTTGGTATACTTTTCTTAGAAGTGAATGCACAGAGCAGTGGTGCATTTTCTTGTCCTTTGCAGTGTATACCATAGATGAATGGCTGTGACTAGGTCAGTAATCACTGTCTGAATAAACACAAGGGGCATATTCTGTTATATTCATGAATTTTTTAAAGTTGCAAGTGACATTTGCAATATGTAAGCTATAATAAAAGCCAGCCCTCTTTGAAGCTGGCTTACAGGTCGCATATTTTTATTGGCTATTGTAAGTTAGCATGTTGGTGGCCTTCACAATTGCTGCATTACTTATTGAATTGTAAAGGATTTAAATTTCTTTGCTGTGAGAAACAACTGAAACAAAATTAATAATAATATTTTTAAATGGACACTGCTATTCTCTGGAAGCGCTGCTACTACATTCATAAATATTTATTTATAATAGGTTGGGTTTGAGACTGAAAAGTGAGCCTTTTCTGTGAGTCATTCATTTTTCCAGTTACGGTTATGGTGATGATAGCACAAACCTTTGCATTATTTATTCGACACCATCTGCAGTTCAAATATTTGCAACTTACATACTATTAATTGAGTTTATGCATTTGTAAACAAAAAAGGGTAAATATCTTTGCTATGGGCAGCGCTTTTAAGTATTTCATTCTTTTTTTTTTTTTTTTTTTTTGCAATTTTTTTCTGTTATTGCTGGGAAGACTTTACTTTCAATTATTTAAACACCGTATTTACTACACCATGCTGACTTTAACTTGATCCACATGGGCACCCTCTATATACAGTGTATTCTGCTGCAATCTGTCAGGTACAGTGTCTAAAATAGTGCTTCAGAAAAGGAAAGGACTATTATTGAAGGCCTAGAACAGATATAAGAGATGTTTTACAGCAGATCTGTGCTAGTCTTTCCCTAGTCTTTATAAAAGATGTAAATAAAGTGGGGGTCAGGGTTGGAGAAATGCAAGAGAAACTAGTAAGCAAGATAATGAAAAATAAAAGAGTCCCACAGGTAATTGTCCTCAACTGTAGGAAGATAGGGACTATCAATATGAGGGTTACCCAGTGGTTTTCCCAATTTCCCATGATAACTGCAGGTCCAAAGGATCGGGCGGGATTCATGCTGGCACCAGTATAATTGATCTATAGGAAACAAGAAAACAACTTCAGACATTGCTGAAACAGGGCTACTAGCAAGTATCATTCATTGCAATTTGCTGTCATTTGTCACTTAGAGGAACCTCAAGATGTTAGCAGCTAGATCAACATTCTTATTGTGCAGTTGGAAAAATTATAACCTAAAATGGACAGTCATGGCTGGATACTAAAGAGCAACTGCTGTGAAACACAACATCTTCAGGCCAGCTAGACTGAGGATAAATGAGGTGGGATTGATTATATAAATGGACTTGGAAACTTACTGCAAATAAATGTCCAATTGCAACAGAAAATCCAATTGCTAAAGCTATTGAGCCAGTGACATCAGTCCTTTTGGAATCACAGCTGGCAAAGATAGTAAACACCAACTGAAATGTGATTATCAACTCAACCAGGAGACCATGACCAGCGGTAAGATTTCCATGAACCTAGAGAAAGAAAAATATTCCATCAGAATTGCAGCAAGAGTATTTTCGATGACAATGTATTAGTATCACTGTGAAAGGCACATTTGATCCTTGTAAAAATAAAGGTAAGTCTTCTACCCCACCTTCAACTGAGACCTTCCTTCTCTCACCCCCCAAAAAGAAGGAATAAATTTACATTCATTTTGGGTCATCACAGATAATTACTCTTACAATGACCAAGCAGGAGTTTGTGCTGAATGTCCTTTTCTACAAAGGAAGCAAAATGTGCCACTGCAGCACTTACTCGTAAAAGAATTTCTTGAGAGCCTTGTAATTGCATAAGGTAATGATTAAATCCATTAATTAGGTTTAAATTAATTAATATATATTTCAATTAAAATTTAAGCCATGTGCTTTTTTTTTTTTTTTAATCAGCCCTGATGCTGAGTTAACAATTGATACTCCTAATCAGCTAAGAACAAAACTAGGATCGGATGTCTATGTTTTTTAAGCACAACGCTTTATGTAGATCATTGCACATCTTATGAACATGACAAGAAAATAGTTTTTTTCTGCTAGTGAACAAATAATTGTAAGGAAAATGCATTAAACTAAATATAAAGTCAATATAGTAACTGGAATGGGAGAAGGAGAGGTAAAAACCAACACAATTTTCAGGCCACCTAGATTTTGTTATTTTTAAGGCACTCAGGAGCAAACAATGATTTCTTACAGATATACCTAAATACTGCCAGAATCAGTTTTCACACTATTAAGAATCATCCAAAAATTCCTTAGGAGTGAATTAGCTATTTTAGGGATGTGCCTCATGACCACCAAGGCATTATTTAGCAAAGAGTTTGCAAGAAGCTTGGAGTCCTAGTTTGAAAATAGCTAAAGACGCTACCATGGTGACTCCCAGGCCTCCCACCACACTGGGAGGTGTGACCAGATAGAGGATTCCTGCTCCAATGATGGCCCCCAGGCACTGGGCTGCAATGTAGAAGACAGACTTGGCGATGCTTATCTTCCTGGTGCACACCATGGCCACAGTCACTGCAGGGTTGATGTGGCCACCGCTGATGTGGCCAAAGCACTGCACCATGGTTGCAATGCTGAGTCCAAAGCAAAGGGAGATGAGAACCATGTCGACCGGTAAAGGCTTTTCTGTTCCACCCCAGTTGATGGTGGATCCCAGGCTGAGGAGAACAAAAATAAGCATGGCCAGAAATTCCGCTGTGACTGCTTTCCAGAAAGCTTGAGTCCAGACCCCTCTGAAAGCCACCATGATGTTCTCTCTGGTACACAACGGTCCACACTTACTGAAAAGAGAAACAAGTCATCATCAGAAGCCACTACACCCAGGTTTATGAATTTGGATGAAGGGAACAAGGCCCACCATCTTCGGGTACTGTGGGCAGGTGCTGCCAAGCGTGATCAGAACACCAAGAAAGAATGCTTCTGCTAAAGCTCCTTCATGCATAGTCAAGAGACTGTTATTCTAGTCTCCTTTGATTTAATATTCAAAGATCATCCAGTTTCACTGGAAAATTATCCCTAGAAAGGAAAATGTCTAAATCAAATTCCTTAAAAAAGATTAAGAATAAAATATATTTGCCTTGTACTTAATTCCCTTAGAGCAAGTTTTTAAGTTTCAAGTACATTTTACATGCCACTTATATTTTGAACATAAAGCATTAAAACAAGGTATGCGTGGGGGGGGGGGGTCGTCTTTTCTAGCTTTGCATTTGATTGCTTTGAAATGGCATTCTGAAAATCTCCCCCTCCCCCAAGACTCTGGATTAAGGGGGAAGACTTCTAGGAAGCCGGGGTGCTGAAGACTGTCTTTTGAGAAAGTGAACTCATTGAGGGGAGAGGAGCTTCTGGTGACTAGCTAGGGCGATGGGAACAGGCGGGGCCTCAGCTGGAACAGCGACACTCCCTCACTCTCCTTTGCGCCAGGAGCGAGCAGGCTGCCAGCCAGCGGGAGGAGCCCGGGAGCTGAGCCTGCCCAAGGGACGCCGCGCACCGCCCAGATCTGGGCGCGCGGCACAGGGACATATCAACCTCCGTCCCCAGGGAGCCTGCAGCGCCTCTCAGAGGGCGGAGCAGCGGCCATTCCCGGCTCGTGCCAGGCTCCGGGGCGGCAGCCAGGTGCACACACACAAGCGGCCCCGCGAGCCCGCCGGCCTGCCCGCCGGCCCGGCTGCATCCTGGCCGCTGGAGAGGGGAGAGATGGGAGTGGGGGATGCTTTTAGGGGAGGAAGGACAGCCTCTCCTCGTGCCCGACTCTCTCTCACCCCTTGACCCTGACCGTACAATTGCAGATAAACCTGCCAAAGGGAGCCTGTGCGGTGTGCCAGCAATGCCCCTGTACCCTTCTTGCCTTCATGGTGCAGAGCTCGGGAAGTCAGGAAAAGGGGGTGTGGCTAGGGAAACTTTGGGCCCCTGAGCAGAAGGCTCTATGGAAAACGGCTTTTCTCTAAGGTCTTCTTGATGGCTTTCTGTTACATGGGCTTAGAGGACAGTGCGTCTCACCTTGCGGAGTTTCTCGGGGGAGGGCGGTGGGCAGGCAGTCTGGGAGAGGGACGCCTTCTCCTCCCGTCTATATCCCTCTTGCTGTCATTAGGTCTTTGGAGCAGAGAAGGGGTGGTTTGACGATATGGATGCCAACTGCTCATTCTGGGAGGAAATGGCTAGGATTGCCCTTTTGTGGGGGCAATTACCCCAGTTACCATGTCATCTAAGACTTTTGCCCTTGTCCTTTGCCTGTGATAGTCATGAGAGCCAAGAAGTATGGAGAGCATTTACCAGAGAATCTAATTGCAGAGGACCACGTAAGGGGTTAGGTAAGAAAGTCAAGTACTTTAAGATATTAGTATTATTGTGGCTTTCTCTCTGACAAATTGTGGGGCCCTCATTTCCCCATGTCACTGAATGTTCCCGGGAGCCTGCTCTCTGCATGGGTAGTGAGGAAATGCAGTGCCAAAAAGGGTGAGGGGAATTTCCAGCTCAGCCTAACCCTTAGTTTGCTACGGGGCTTTGCTTTAGAGGTGGAGAGTGAAAAACCCTTTCTTGCCTAAGCCTGGGTGGCAGGATAAAGGAAGAGCTGGCTCCACAGCAGGGTGGCCAGCCACATCCCATGCTTCCCCTGCCCCAGTGAAGCAAATCTCAGAAGTATGAAAAACCCCAGGTGGGATAACAATGACATCATACTGTCTAGAGGAAGAGAATGTAAAGAAACAAAAACGGTAGTTGGAATGGGGCAGGGAGGGCACCCTGGAGGAGACACTAAAAATATTCCCAAAGAGGGCAAACTCAGGAAAGTCACACATTGAAGAAGTTAGGAGAGTCACTTCTGAACTCACTGGCAGCCCAGGGCTGTAGCCGGGATGGCAAAGGGGGCAAAATGCGATCACAGGTGCTGTTTGTGGTCAGGGTTAGTGGGGAGAAGGAGGAGGACAAAACAGGAGGCTAAGGAAGCTAGGTGGGCAAGAAACGTCCTTCTCAGCCCCGCAGGAGACACCAGGCGAGGTGGGACCCAGAAAAGGCCAGCCCCCCTGCTCACCCCCTTCACCTCTCATTTCTGCCGTTTCCCGAGTTCTCTCCCTGCTTGGTCTCTCATGCACCTGTCTACCTCTCCAGAGACCTAATTTAAGAAACTCAGTTGCTCTTTCAGCTTCAAATTTTCATCAGCCAGAGAAATTTAAAAGAGTGCAAAACTTGAAAACAAAACATAAACGTACTCTTTAAGAATGTTTTTAGCTTTTTTTTTTTTTTAATCCACAAAAATCTGATCTCCTTCCAAGGCAGATGTACCAGCCTCAGTAGGCTGTGAACCCTGAAGTTTGCTGGCAGTATAGACATATCTCTGGCCTTATGAGGGCTCACCCCAGCGTCACCCATAGCACCCTGTTTTTAGTGTCAGTGTTCCCTTACGTGTTCACACTCACTGGAAATGATCAATACAATTAGTTTTGCTTCTTTTACCCCAGAACAAAGGGGATTTGTTGATGTGACCCGGTTGTACCGAATCGGACACATCATTTTCTAGCTGAACACTCAGCCTCATCCACTCCAGGACAGCTGAGCATCTGGGTGAGTAATTTTTCTGATGAAATGCACTATAGCTAGATTTACCTCCATAAGGTAATTTTCCTGGGCTTTTGCAGATCTCAAACATACGGAGGATTTGCCTAAAAAGCATCCCTTTTCTTCTACCTTCTCTATGCCTCTCTTCTGAAAATGCCCAGCACTTAGATCTAAAAGAACCACCCACCTGCCCCATAGCTGCCTTCCAGATTCTGCCTAAGAAGGCACAAACATCTGTAATAAAATAGACAGTTTCATCTTTTGGCCCTGAGCATTGATCCCTTAAGGCAAAGAAGGACTTACCCCCACCGCCTTGCTGTGGGTCTGTCACTCATGCCTTCCCCAGCCAGAGTGCAGCTCTCATTGCCTGCCCCGCAGCTCCCTGTGTGCTGGGAGTCAGATTACGGCCACTTGTCTGATTGGGTTTTTGGAGTGTTAGGGGTGGAAAGATTCTGCACCATGTGGCAATCGCTAAGTTATATTTGAACTTGAAGTAACTTTTCTGTACCTGATCACTGTAGACACAGGGCATTTCAGGAATGCAAAAACATTTACTTACGTTATGTTTATTTTTTTCAGCCAGTAACGTTTGAAAATGAGGATTTCCTCAAATCTTTATTTGAATTCTTCCTACCACGAAGAATTGTTCAGAATTTGTCTTGTTTGGTTATATGTTGTAGTTTAAATCGGGCAACTATTAGAAAATGAATTTGTATAATCCAGCAGTTGAGATGAATTGAGATAGACACTTCGGTGCATTTATTTTTTAGCCAATGAATTCTGTTTGAAGTTTTTGATCTGAGAAGAAGTATTATAAGCACAACATATAACTGCAGCTCCATTTATAGCACAGGCAGCACTGATTTGGACAATAAAAATAAGGAAACATAGGAAATACAGGAAATAAGACTGCTCTAGGTGCTCACCTGACTGTTATATTAATAATCTGGGGGAAAGAAGTAGCAAACTTAAAAAATATCAAAGTTGGATGGGGATGAAATTATGGGGAACTGTAGGTAAATTTAACCTCTGGAAACCTAGGGACAGGACTGATTTTATAATTTACTGGTCCCAGTGCAAAATGAATGCAGGACACCTTGGTAAAACATTATTTAAATTTCAAGATTGCGACAGCAGAGCATAAATAAAGGCTGGGTGCTGCTAAAGGCAGGACCTCGTGCAACTGCACAGGCTACGTGCTTATGAAGACGTCCCTGCCTAGGGAGTTTGGTGAACTCTAGAAGGTTTAACCATTAGCTACCTGCATCACCATCTCATTATTATTTTTTCTTTAAATAGACCGTCGGTGCATGGGATTGGAATAATCAGAATTCCTGAGTTATAACATCTGTCATCACTCGTGCATGTATGGCCCTCTTATTTTCTAATAGTTAATTATAATGGCTTTTAAATAATGTAATGAACATCTATGAACCCACTACTCAAGTCGACAACTAGAACAATGATAATAACTCACATTATCTATGGACGCCTCCCTTTTCCCACTTTATATTTCAGATTGGATTTTTTTTTTCCAGAATGAAGTGTGACAAGAAAGAAATACATAAGAGGGAAGAAAGACTGTTATACTTTTAAATCCCAGTTACAGTTTTTTGTTTTGTTTTCATTTGCGTACTTGAGACAAGGGAATGGGTGAAGAACTCTCATTCGAAAGAGGAATTCAAAATTTGAGTGTGACTTTCAGAGGAGCGCTTTATTACTGTTTCAAGCATTTTGAGCTAACCAACATTGAATTTAGATTCTTAATAATATGGTTGTACACTGATTATTGTACCTCAGTGGTTTCTACCTTTAATATGCTCCCTGAAAGTCAGAATAAATTGTGATGAGAATGAGTGGCAGGGAGAATTGATGCGAATCCACAAAGAACACTTAAAACATTTCATATTGATTCTTAAAGCTGTTTACCATTTGGATTTTAGAATGAGATTTTAAAAAGCTGCAAAATGTTTGTTACAAATTGGAAAACTGACTTTCTAGGCAGATGTGCTAAGTGTCATTACTCTGACCCTAAGGCATTTGAGTCAGAGGTATTTTGAGGGCTGTGAAGCTAGGGCACAAGGCAGCCATCTTTAGGGGCTTCCTTGTGAATGAGTCCTGTGGGCAGATCCACAGGAATCTACAGAGTGGCGCTCCTTAGGGGTACTGATCTGGTCGGTGGGCGGACATTTTCTAGGTCCACTCTTCACAGGTTGTCCTAGGCTTATTAGCATTCTCTGCACAACCTCATCAGTTGCAGTTACCATTTTACGAAGTGCCAGCAAAACTTGGTTACCACGGTTTCTCAGCCTCTTTCCCTGTTTTCTGGCTGGCTGATGCCTTGGCAGTGCAGTTCCTAAGGGATGACTGTTCCCATCAAGGAAGGGGCCACCCTCATTGGCACCAACCCCTACACTTCTTAGTACTCTCAGCAGAGTAGCTTAAAATTGACTGGGGATTAACTCTTCACCTACCAGAGGTAGTTTTTCTTGTTAAGTATTGCTGATCATTCTTTTTGTACTTGAGCTGCTACTACTGATCGTCCTGTGATACTGTCAGCTGTAGGCAATAATCAGCTAGTTACCTGGCTTTTCTTTGGACTAGGGCAGAAATTTCCCACAGGATTGTCTGTGGTGTTGTATGCAGAATGCGATAATGAAGGAAAGCAGCTATAATGTGCTTCTGGTGGTGGTGGGTCACCAGGAGGTGGGAAGCTCTGGTGAATATGAGTAATACCTTCTACACTGAAATGTTTTGATGTGGACCTGGATCCAAGTGACAGTTGGAATCTAATCCCCCCACCACCGCCACCTCCTGCCACTGGTATGTTTAAAAGCGTGCAATTCATTAAAATATCGAATAACAATTTATTAATTAAATCTTATTGACTTTCTCATTGTATAGTGTTATGATCTTTTGGGGGAGGATAGTTACATGGCACATTGATTTAAAATTGGTCTTTGCGCCAGATGACCTTATGAATCTTTAGTTCATTAGCATTGCGAAGTTGGGGGTCAGTAACACATGAGGAACTAGAGAGAAGCATAAGTGAAAATGACAAGTACTTAGCAAACACTAGCTAATTGACACACTTTGTTTCTGAATTTTTAATCTACTATGCCATAGTATTTTCCTTGGGTGCTGTTGTATATCTTTGGGATTTGTGGACTCCTTCTCCCATCCTTGCCCTCAGAACTTTTAATATTTCTTCATGTGTTCAGAGATTGAAAACAAACAAAAGCACTAAACATGCCAGCAATGCCTCAGTACCAGACGGGAAGTGTCTCCAGGCTGGTAAGGGCAGATTCAATCGCAACTCATAAATCTTACTTTGCTTTTCATGAATCTCAGCATCATGAATTCCCCCAGAGCACTTATATATCAGTATGTTCATTAAAAACAAACAAATAAACAGAACAACAACAGCAGCAGCCGCCACAACCACTACCATCACGACGAAGGGCTTAATGGGGCTTTGTTCCTTTTTCAAGGAAGCTTTACCTTATGGTTATAATTCAGGATGGCTTCCAAAAATAGAGTTCACCACCGAAAGAGTGAAATAAAAATAATGATCAAATACAGCAAGGAATCAGAGTGTTTATCTTAGCTTCCTGTTCCTTAGTGAGGTTAATGGGAGAAAACCTCTCTTTCCAATGGTTGTTGAACCTTCCAGAAACACCTTAAATCTCGCTCTGTGCCCCCACGCCCCACAGATCCAGGTTTTCGTGTTTGGTGTAGCAGGCACATTTTTCTTGATTCAGATCCAGGCGGACTCTGCTTTGGCGGGGGAATTGTACTCTGCTGACATTTAAGGCAGGAATTCCCTGGGAAAATAGTCAAGAGATTCTTTTGGAGCTGCTGGAAATGCTCCAAAGGGTTTAGGGTTCCCCTCTCTAGGCAAATAGGGAGAGAGAACGGGAGGGAGGGAAAGAGAAAACAGAAGGACTTTATTGAGTGACTGTATTTCATCTGAAGCTGGTACAAAAAACCAGAAATGTGGTTGGATGACTGGATACTTTTCTTACACCTTATCTCTTCCCCAGCTAATATGACAGCTCAGAGTCTGGTTGGGCATTTAAAAAAACAGCTCAGACATCCATAGTAGACAATCAGTTCTCCAAGAAGCAAAGGACTTTGGGATTTAATGGGTTGGACCAAAATGTTTGAAATGGTTCATAGTCTAAGTGTAGCCTATACTAGTAATTGTTTCAGAATTTAAATTAAATTTGAATATATTAAAAACTAAGCCAACATTTTGGTGACCACTGTCACTCAGTAACCACTGTCATCTACAGTGATCATTACAGAAGGGCTCAGAGGACCCGTATTTTTAAGACTAACAGAAATGTTTCCGGCTTCAAGGACAGAAAAGGTGTTTAAAATTCTGTACACATGGGGTATGACCAGCAGAGTAAGCCGAAAAACTAGGTGGTTAAAAAAAATGCTTTCAGAATAATGCTAGAAACAGAACACTTTTTAAAGGAGCAGAAGTGGCCATCATCTGTGACCACAAAAAGAAATGACTGATCTCAACAGTCAAGTTATTTAGGAATGGCCTTGGATGACCTTTCTAATAATTCAGATACTTTCTTTTCTTCCTTCCTAAATGATCATACATCCTTCTCTTTAACCTCTGTACTTTTTCTTCTCCCCACATTCATACAATCAGGAAAGCACATCTGAAATTCAAAGGGCCTTAGAGGTGTCAAGTCTCGGCATGACTGGTTTGATCTTTCCTGAATGTTCTTCATCTCTTGCTGCACTGGCCAGTATTTTTTTGCTGCAGAGTATGCTGCGACCACACCTTGTCAGGTCCCACCTTGGAGCCAATTTAGGTGATTCTTTTATCTCAATCTCTTTCCTTCTCTCACTGCCACAGGATTTTCTGATTCTTCTCCAAACACTCCTCAGTATTTATCTCCTTCATGAAATCTGCTCTTCCATGGCTGCTTGGTTCTAGTCACCTAAAAAAACCCGTAAGAAACAGAAGGCCTATGTGATACTCTGCACTTTCTAATAATTCAGATACGTTCTTTTCTTCCTTCCTAAATGATCATACATCCTTCTCTTTAACCTCTGTACTTTTTTTTTTTTTCCACGTTCATACAGTAAGGAAAGCACATCTAACAAATTCAAAGGGCCTTGAAGGTCATCATCTCGCTGTGACTGGTTTGATCTTTCCTGAATATTTCTTATCTCTTGCTGCACTTTGGCAGTATTTTTTTGCTGCAGGAGTATGCTGCGACCACACCTTGTGAGTCCCACCTTGGAGCCAATTTAGGTGATTCTTTTTTATCCTCAATCTTTCCTTCTCTCACTGCCACAGGATTTTCTGATTCTTCTTTAAACCTCCTCAGTATTTTATCTCCTTCATGAAATCTGCTCTTCGCAAACTTGCTTGGTTCTAGTCACCTAAAAACCCATGTAACTTGGATGGCCTATGTGATACTCTGCAGTTA